GGAAAAATCACATACGAGGTATCAAACACTGATCCACATATTTTCAAAACTAATTAGTTCCCTTAAATGCCTCGAACACTAGAATTGTAGATTTTGGAATCTCTTGTCTTATAATCAATTAGCTACTCTACCTAATATTTAAGAACACCGTGCTCAGTATTCAAATTACAACCCAATACAAGAATTTACATCATCGACCAAGAAAATTTACTCATTCACACCGAATAGGCGAATACCACACACACACACCACGTAGTTTTTTAAAGTGAAAAATGATCGATAAATGAAACATCAAACTTTGATTGCTGAAATATTGCCAATGGAGTACTTCTCTTGAAAATCATAGATTTTTTCTTATCGGTTGTGTTGAGTATGTGATTTTGTTGATGACTAACCATGCAGGTGGAACGACGGACAGAACCGCTCTAGTTTCGTAAGGAACAAAAGATAGAACTATTCGTTCACTAACCATGCAGGTGGATAAATTGATAGGACTACGGAGAGTTCTAATATGAACTCTGGACAGAACAGTTCCATGTCCTACATGAAATATTCGTGCCCATAATTAGTTATGTGTCTGCATGTGCATGCCTTTCCATGTATCTCTACAATTATATAAGCATGAATATTGTTAGGGATATAATGGTCCTCAGAAAAATGTTCATGTCTCCTTTCTGCTTTGCTCGATTGTACAAGATGCATATTTGGTTATTAATTGAATATGCTCTCACACGTAAAGGGTCACGGTGTAAGATTTGCCGTTAAACCTCAATATTTCTTCCGCATCTTTATATCTCACAGGTTCCAGATTAATTATTAGTGAGTAATTAATCCTTCTTTTGCTCTCTCGTGGCACAACCCTCCTCTTCTGGATTTCCATTCAACTAAGCCCGACAAGCAGTCATGGCTCTCAAACGATTAAATATCCCGCACTCTTATTGAGCATATTTTGGATTTCCTGGCATCATTTTGTAGGTTCTTTCTTCGCTTCTAATGAATTATATATTTCCTTAACATTTAAATTCAGTTCATTACTACATTGGCATAGTTGGTTTTCCTTCAGCATCTTGCTTTGTTTCTGAATTGTTGGCTGGATTTTAATAGCCCCGTGTTTGTATTCCAATTGCTTTATATTCTAGTACGATTTGTATTGTTGGCCTGGTTGCAAATTTTCTTCAGATTCTTTTGTTTATATTCTTTGCTTATGTGTTTGTATCCCTTTTGTTGAGGATCGATTCGTCTTCCGGCTCAGGTCTCCAACCCTTTAGCTAGACTCACACACACCACTCTAGGCTAGACCACAACACAACTCACCATGTTTTATCTCCATCCACTAAGTACCTCTCTCAACTCACACACAAAGGAAGGAGAAGGGGTAGAGCACTGCTCTCAGGATATCTCTCACGCAGGCTACTCCTCAAGGAAGAAGAGGGCTCAATAAATAATAGGCTGGCAGCCAATTATCAAGGCAATTCACGAGTGATGCAAAGACAAAGGCTCATGGGCAGACACAGACAGGAATGCAGCGGACCATAAAGAGAGGGGGCCAAGCATTAGGTAAGTCAACAATCAATGAATGACCTCAAATAGAAGACCTAAACAGGTATACCTTAGTGGGAGTAAACATGGTGTGCAAGTCAATAATAAAATGGAAGGGAGGCCTTGATAGGACCAATACCTCCAACATTATCCACATTATTGGTCCTAAGTGGTGTAGAGTAGCAATACAAAGTTGTGAGGAGACTCATCATCGCCGGACCATTACAAGTACATCATTCTGATCATACAAGTAATAGATGAGAACCAAAGTTCCCTTTCGGACCAAGCTTACCATGCAAACCCAATTCACGATGGACTGAACTCTACCAATCGGTCCTCGAGTTCAGAACCAAAACCATCACAAAACTATTAACAAACACAACACATGTTAATAAACCACGCAAGCAAGCATCCGCGAGAAGTTGGGGATTCCAACTAATCCAACAACCACACAAAACAAGTACACAGAAAATAAAAGAAACAATATTATTTCTATAACTAGCACAGGCGGAGCTCACATAATCACTTGGTATCACATTTTCAAAACACAAAGAAAATAGCATACCAAACATCACAAAGAATTTAATTAAAAGAGAATTAAGCACATTTAAAGCAAACTCAGAGGAAATATAGTCAAACACTTTGCCCATATCATTTCTCTCATGCTTCCTAATGTCTCTATCTCTAATAACATGGCAATCACGCAACTCAAGCATATTGCACACAACATTCATATCATGCTCCACCTTAATAGAAATATTATTTTTTTTATTTTCACCATGAAAAACATTTTCATTCACAAATTTGGGTTTGGTTTCAACAAGTAAATCAGAATGAACTTCAATAGGCAAATGCTCCACCTCATTTGGAGCAACATAAGGAGAAACAAGCAGGCAAGGAAATTCATTTTTAACAAAATGACATTTCTACTCATCAACACATTGAAGCAAGTTTCACTCCTACACCAAATCCTATAACCTTTCATGCATTCATGATATCCCAACAAAACATATTACTTAGTCCTAGGTTCAGATTTATCATTCTCACGATTCACATGAGCAGCACAACCAAATACTCTCAAATTTGGCAAGTTAAGTGGTTCGCCCGTGAAAACAGATTCAGGGCATTTCCCTCCTAAGGGAACAGACGAGGACAGATTAACCACATCAACAGTATAACAAATAGCTTCCCCCCAGAACTTATTAGAGAGCCCAGATGAAGCTAACATAGCCCTCACCCTCTCTAATAAAGTTCTAACCATCCTCTTAGCAACCCCATCCGGTTGGGGTGTGGAGGGAACAAATTTATGCATAGAAATACCCCAAGTATCACATAAATCATCAAGCTGATCATCACATAAATCAAAACTGACAGTGGTCCTTAAAAATCTATTTTCTTACCGGTTTGTTTTTCAACAAGGGTTTTCCAGTTTTTAAACTTATCAAAAACTTCAGATTTATTCTCAATCAACAAAACCCACACTTTCTTTGAAAAATCATCAATCAATGTCAGAAAATAATTTTTCCCACCATGAGTAGAAACACTATAAGGACCACACATATCAGCATGAATACAATCAAGCACATCAGTAGACTTAGGCAGATCAGGAAAACTAACTCTAGACTGTTTTCCTAGCACACAGGGTTGCACACAATTCACAGAATCAAGTACGGGTTCAGCGTGACAAACATACAAGTTGTTTTTCATCTCAGCTTTAAAAACAACTAAACAACCCTTCACAACTTTCATGATTCCCTTTCCCCATTTTCCCTTCAAACCATCATTTTCAAGAGAAGCACAAGATAGCAAATTACAGCACAACTCAGGAACATGCCTAACATTCTTCAAAGTAAGCACATAACCAGAAGAGAACCTAAGGCATACATCTCTTATTCCTAGCACATTGCATTTCTTCTCATTTGCTAAAGACACAAAGCCATGCTCAATCTCTCTATAGTTTGAAAAAACATTTTTCAAAGGGGGCATATGAAAAGTACTACCAGAATCTACCACCCAATCTGATTTACTCAAAGAATCAGATATCAAAGAACTCAAGTAGTCATAATCAGGCATATTATTCATCATAAAAACATAACCTAAATCATCATCACACGTAGTCAAATTAGCATGCTCACTATGCTCATTTTCCTAGATTTAGGATAGTCTCTTATGAAATGACTAGATTCATGACAATAATAGCAACGCCTCGAATTAGACCTAGACTTAGATCTATGTCGTCTACTATTATTTTCTCTACCCCTCACATGCATAACATCCTCGGATTTTCTACCCTCACCCATCTGTTTTAAATCTAATTCCTTACTCTTAAGACCATTTACCACAATGTCAAGAGTCACATTATCTCTACCATACTTAATAGTAGATTTCACATCACTAAAGGAATCAAGAATAGCATTTAAAAGAGCAATGGGGGAATAATCATCTATATGCTCATCACCACACAACTTAATATCCGAAATAAGTTTGGTAAAAACATCTAGATTTTCTTCAATATCCATAGACATATCTAGTCTAAATTTTAAGAACTTTTCAAGTAAAAACACCCGGTTAGGCAAAGAGGTTACATTATAAAGTAAAGCTCTTCAAGTTTATTCCACACATATTTAGCTGATTCTAAAATTCCTACTTTTTTGAGCACACAATCAGATAAGTTCAAGTAAATTATAGAACACACATTTTCATTCATTTCTGCTTTTTTCTCTTCCGTATCGGAAGCCAAATAGGTTTCACTAATGGCCCTATATGATTTTTGTTGAATTAATATGCACTTTATTTTCTGTTTCCATATGCTAAAATCAGTTTTTGCATTAAATGGAGCCATTCCACACTGATTAAAAGCAGACATTTTCGCACAGAAAATTAAAACAAGAAAATTAAAATGCAACTTTAGCTAGAAAACCAGTTCAATATTTATAGGGCTATAATTGTACAGAGCAACTAGCGCGAATAAGCCGGGAATAACAATGAGCACAAGACTCCGTTCAAAAAAATTGGTATGAAGAAACTAGACTTAATGAAGAAAATGCTCAAAAAATCATCAAAAAATTCCACCGGGAACCGCCCCAATTGACGACGGCTGGGCAGAACCTCATGGGACTGATTGAACATTTTAAGTTGATTGAAGAGCTTATTTGACCTTCTAGCTAAAAAAGAATTTAACTTTCATATTGATTGAAGGAACGCCTCGCCGTTTCCGCCTTAAATTAGATTAAACAAATCAAACTTTTTTTTTTGATCGTCAAATCAAACTTAAAATATCCTTAAACGTCTCTTTCCGTTTTCTTTATCTTCCACTGTATTAAAAATGTGATAATTTCTCCAGCACGAAGCGCATCCGAAGGGATCACTCCACGTGTCAGACTATCATCCATCATCGCCCACATTCACCCTCCTTTATCGACGTCACTGTGAAAGAATATACGGTATATTTTTTTTTTGCAAATTTTCTGGTTATCCATTTCGAGAGACGACGATGTTTACAGGGAGATTTTAAAACCGGAAAATGGAGTGAGAACTTCAGCCTCGATTGTACCAGTGAAACGCAGCATAGAGGTCTTCACCAGCTCCGTTTAGCCAGCGGCAATGGCAAGTGGCTTCGTTATTTCCCACCGGAACTTCGGTCCTTTCATTGGCCCAGGTATAAGCATGCGCCTGGTGTGCATGATTTTCGGTCTTTTGGCCACTGAATTTCGGAGAACTAAGTTTACCTTTCGTGTTATGGATTTTTGAACTAATATAAAAACAAGTTTGTGGCGATTAGAGCTAGCCGTTATTGTGTAAGGATTAACTGTTCATTTTCCAAACTCGCGGGAGATGCAGGCCGCTTTTTATGGTGTAACATTCCAATGTATAGTCTATTTGTCTTAGAATTTCGCTGAACTATGGCTGAAAAGTAAGGTTGAATGCTTGGTGCGGATTTATTAGTATGAATTAAAAAATACTAACTCAAAATTTGGGCAATTGGGACGTGAATTTTGTTACTAGACGAGTTTTTTTTTTTATAATTGCAATTCCTGTGTGTCTGTGTTTAGATATGCATCGTTAATGTAAATTCCACTACCAGGCATAGTAAATCAGGCAGAGAGGTCTACCATTATTCACGGAGGGAAGAGGTTGAGCTTTACTTCTATGCAGCATGTTGTGCACAAGGCCAATGTAGTAGATAAGATTTGCCTTCCAAGGAAAAAGATTGGCTGTATGTATCTCTGTGATGCCTCAAATGGTAAACCCTGTAAATCGAAACCACCATTTCACGTTGACGCCTGCCAGACTAGTCAATTAAGTATAGTGCACCATGCGATAGATCATAGACCAAAACTGAGAAGTACACACTGTAAAGCGGTTACTTCACTTGGAAGAAGTTGTGTCCCTCCAAGGAAGCTGGAAAGTCTTCGTTTCTCTGACAACCGAAGGCAGGAGATAAAGCATTCAGCTCAAATTGGGGCACATGCTGACTTTAAATGTGATGAGCATGACATAACAGGGGCATTAGAACCTTTAGTGTCTCCAGAGAGCAGTGATGTTGTTCTGACAGAAGGAACAAAACCTTGGTGGGAGCAGTTCCCAAAACGATGGGTGATAGTACTTCTTTGTTTTGCTGCTTTTCTGTTATGCAACATGGACCGTGTAAGTATTTCTCTTTTCTCCTGGTTATGAATCTTGATTTATTAGGATCCTATTTTCTCAGCTTTCCCATTTAAAACTTAAAAGTAACTCTCATTTCACATCATCAAAGTTATTGTTTGCCTTTTATCTCGAACTATGGAATTAATGACTTATTGTAGCTTCTTTTATTGCAATAATCCCATAAATAAAATTATCAAATATCTTAACCAGTTGCTGAGTTTTATTTTGGAAAAGCCTTCGTAATATAATTCGTAATTCTGTAAGGCCTTTTTGTAATGCAATAGTGATTCATTGAATTGATTTTAGGTCAATATGAGCATTGCAATTCTTCCCATGTCAAAAGAATACAATTGGAACACTGCTACTGTGGGCCTCATTCAGTCTTCTTTCTTCTGGGGATATCTGCTCACACAGGTCTCATCGAATTCTGGATATATTTGTGCTTGTATGTAGTCACTGAGTTTAGCCGATATCTGCTCAAAACAACTTTTGATGATTTGAGCTAGTTGCCATTGACCTATTGTTCAAAGCCTCA